AGTCTGTGTTGATGAAAACACCTTGGTGGCTGTGGTGACTGGCATTGGCGTGCAGCAGCCGGGTGATGGGGCTGGTGCCTTCCCCTGATCATCCTGGTCACCTCCCACAAAGGGAGCGGGCCTAGCCATCACTAGGACATCCTCTGAGGGCTCCCAGTATGTGAGAGGGGGCAGGCTGGGCTGAGGGACACCCCCCCCCCAGTGCACGAATTTCATGCACCGGGCCCCTAGTCTATATATATAAAAGGCTAAGTGACCATCTGACTCTCCGACTGGTAGCTATGACGTGCAATGACCACCAGGGGGCAGATGCTCCAACTTGTAGCTGTGACGTGCACTGACCATCAGGGGGCAGATGCTCAATGCAGGAGCTTCTGAGTTGCTGTGGCTTGGCCGCGGTGATTCTAGGGTGATGCACCCCAGAACCAGAGAGGAGGGAGCCTGATTCTGGGGTTTGTCATCTGAGAACCTCCCTCTCACAATCCAAGACCCTCAGGGAATGTTGGAGAGCTGGTTTTGGTCTGATCCCCACAGGCCAGGCTGAGGGACCTCACCTGCCAGAGGGACTCTGCTCACTCCACAGATGTCCTTCGAGCCATGGTGCCACCTCAGGTGCAGCCGGCCGGGAGGGACCACGGGAGGTTGGCTCCAGGGTGTGTCCAGCCCATCTCGCCCAGTCCCACCCAGCCGGCCACCTTCTAATTAATTTCCTTTCAATGTGCACGAATCTGTGCACCGGGGCATTAGTAGAAAATGTAATAGCATACACTCAATTGAGAAAAATATGGTGATTGATTCTACTTTTGGAGTCAGATTCTACTTGCTATTTGGGAAACTTAGAGAAAATTATTCACACTGATTTTTTTAACCTATAAAAAGGAAATAAAAATGATGCCTTTCTTAAAAGGTTATCTTGAGGATGAAATGATAGAATCTATGGTCAGTGCTTAGTGCAGAGCCTGGAAGAGCTCACTATTCCAACTGTGCTGTGGCTACTTCTCTTTCTGTCTCTCTCTTCATGGATCTATCACCATTGCTGCCACCCCAGCACCACCATCATCTTCATAGCCTGATTTGAATGCAGATTGATACAGAAGGGCAGAGTCAGGGAAGGGGCCCAGAATGGGGGGCGGGGGGGGGGTGCCTGTGTTTCATCCTAAGCACCAGCACTTGCAACTATGTCTTCTTGGACAAGACACATCAACTTTCTGAGTTTCTCTCTCTCTCTCTCTCTCTCTCTCTCTCTCTCTCTCTCTCTCCCTAGTAATAGGGTGAATGCTCATATCATAACATGGGAGGAGCATTAGATATTCCAGGGGGTGGGTCTTCTTGCAGGAGCAGAGCTGCCTAGCTAACCCAGCATTGATGGAATTCTGGGAGAACACAGTCGGAGCCAGAATAGACACAGGAAACCCAGAACCTTGGCACAAATGCATATTTATCAGATTAACATTGGTGTCCCAGGTCCCTATGCTATTACCTGAATTCTCACAATCAGGACCAACTGGGCCAACATGAGAGCTTGACGCTTCGTGTTTGGTAGATATTACTGCTAATGGTAATTGTAATAGTGCAAGGTTTCAATGACGTCCTCTTTAGCTGGCTATCGACATACGATCCTGTACGCCACTCATTCATGACATTATTGTGCCCTGAACACACTGACAACTCCCTTCATTTCTATCTGTTTCCCTTTCTGGTTTCAGCTCCTTCTGAGATCACTTTTGCAATTGATGTTGGGAACGGCCCCGTAGAGCTCGTAGTCCAGTCTCCTTCTCCTCTGAATGACAACCAATGGCATTACGTGCGGGCCGAGAGGAACCTCAAGGTGACCTCGCTGCAGGTGGACGGCCTCCCGAGGATGAGCAGGGAGACTTCGGAGGAGGGCCACTTCCGGCTGCAGCTGAACAGCCAGCTGTTTGTAGGTAGGGGACATCTTAAGGCGCCCTTCCTGCTAGAAGCCCTACAAAACCACCCTGTGACCAGGCCCAGGGAAACTGCTTTCATTTGGACCTGAGAAATGATTAAAATGTGTCATAAAACATTTATAATGGTAAATTTTATTATACAAATTCTTTCTTGCTTGCTTCATTAGCCACAGCAATAAAAGATTATGCCACCCCATAGCAAATTTTAAGGTGATCTCAGACTCTTTTTGTACCTTTTCTCCTTGCAGATATGACCTTCAGCTATCCAGGGGCCCCTATTATTTTTCATGTATGATTGTATTATGCCCTTAGCAAAAGAACAGATCAGCTACTTATCCCTTAGTGGTGCTGGCTCCAAGTCAGTCGGCCACACTCCCCCTTTCGGCAGATACCTAATTCCTAAGAATTATCACTAACAGTGTGATGAAATATACTGACCCTCTGAAATGGATTTCCGTTGTTAGTGATACGGGGAAGAAATTGCTAGTTTTTGAACGAGGGGCTTCGTTGATCCTCCTGAAATCACATCCTTGGGTGGCTGCCTTACTCTTGCGCAGAAAAGCAGTCCTGGTCTCCAGCAAATGACTCTGCTGCTCATTCCCTCCATGAGACTCAGAATCAGGGTTCAGACAAGTGGTGCGTCAGAACTGGCTGCCACTGCTGGTCACAGGGTCGAAAGGCTCAGACATGATTCACTGACTCATTCATTCATTCATTCATTCATTCATTTCAGTCGCCGAGCACATAAAATATATCAAGACCTTGTTGGATGGTGGAGATTGGCAGGCAAGTTGTGTAATGACACTACTTTCAGAGCACACAGTTGTGTTGTGTGTGTGTGTGTGTGTGTGTGTGTGTGTGTGAGAGAGAGAGAGAGAGAGAGAATGAAGGAAAGTGAAAGAGAAATTTTAGCGAGAGAGAGAGAGAGAGAGAATGAAGGAAAGTGAAAGAGAAATTTTAGCTACATTAGTTCAGGTAGGAAAGGTCAGGACGGACTTACAGCTATAATTTAGAAATGACTTTTTATAAGAATGTTGAGCAGGGCACATAATGCTTTAAGTACAAAATAGAGCTGTAAATGTTGAGGATATTATAATATTACCAAAGCCAAGAAGCTGCTCTTCCATAAAATGTGAAATTTAGATGTTTAGAACAATTATATAAATAGGTTCCAAATGTGGCCACTATATAAGATTTCATTTTCTTTCATTTTTCTTATTTAAACAACTCTCACAGTACATCACCTTCTTGTTAGCAACAAGATCCCATCAGCAATCAATGGATGTTTTTATTTGTTTCCTTTAAATTTGGGCCTGTACAATTTTTAACTCTGAGGAAAGCAGTCACTAAAAGCACATAAGGTAAAAGAAAAGTAACAAAATATGTAATATTTTATTTTCTCAACAGGAATCATTCTTCATCTGTCATGTTTTTCATTTCTGACAGAAGCTTAGATATAAGTGATTAAAATTATATGTTTATAAAGCATTTACTTAATTAATAACCTACTTAAATGATATAATTTACTATTAAAATATTTATAAAATTTATATGGATGTTTTAATTCTATTTAAACATCACATTTTATTTTTCTGAAGAAGTCTGTTAGTCATCAAGATTTAATGTGTTTCTTTTTGAAATCAATTCAAGTAGTTTCCAATTTTCATAAATTATATTCATGCCAAAGTTTAATTTATCTTCAGGCAGTAAGTATGAATCTTTCAGGCTAAAATGTGCATATAAAGATGGAATAATTTTTGATGCTTTCATGAAAATTTCATGGAGCTATGAAATTATCATATGTCCTGAATATGTGATAACTTTCTGCAAGCCAACAGGGAAAAGGAGGCGGCCATGCGTCATGGCAGGTTTTTCTCTTGATGTTCTGACTAAATTGCTCACAGAGACAGTGAGCTGGGAGCGGGTGGGTCTGGAGGAGATATCGGGCTTGAGGTGGAGCCAAGGCCAGCTGTGGTGAGAGCACCTGCTTCTGTGTTTCTCTCCAATTCATTCCATCTCAAATATTACTCAGCTTTATTGAATTTGTCTTCATGCACTTGAAGAAAAGTGCTGTTGAAGGCCATTTTAGTTTGTTGGTTTGAATTTTGTTGTTTCGTGTTCAGTGATACATCCATTTAGAAATATCAAGAGGCTGAAAATGCTAAAGTTGCAATATTTCTACTTTTATAATTGACTGGTTCATAAAAAGAGCAAAAGCTAAAATAAAACAAATAAAAAGCATGCTCTGCTTAGTTATAGCAGCCAAAATGAAGAATCACATTCCCTATCATTTAGAAATGTAGAGACACTGGATATTGTTATGTATTAGGCAGAAAAAGATAGCATTAGTGTGTACTCCTTTCCTGGGATAGATTGAGTGTGACACTACTTAAATATTAATTTGGTTGTGTCTGACCAGATACTTTTAGCCATTGAACTATTTTTCAGTCAAAACAGAGTGTGGTTCAGCATTGCATCGCTGGTCCCACTGCTTGCTCATGAGTGCTTCCTGAGCAGGAGAGATTGGTTGAATTTATAATATAGGACACCCCTACTCTCGGAATGTGACGAGCTGGAGTGTTGCTACATTAGTCACTACATGCTGGATTCCCATAAGTAATATTTTCAGTTCAGGCTTTTATCTCCATGAAAGTTATATTTACAACCATGCGATTTTGCTGGTCAGCTTACTTTCACAGAGTAGGAGAAACTATAACAGGTGGCCTCTGAAATGTCTGCTGCATGCCTGGACTGCCATCTTTAGCGCTCACGGATGTCTCACCATCAGCTCTGCTGTTTCCTGCTAATGTGCCAGTCACTGTGAGAATGAGGCAGGAGAAGCCCAAGAACTGGCACCATGCAAATAGTGAAGTGAGGAGATCTGGGTATGGATCCAGATGAACGGCCGACGGGCCATGGGGCGTTGGTAGGAAGACAATAGCCTGAGTATGCTCACTGTCCTTACCCTCAGAATGAGAACGAAGAGGCTGGGAACTGATTTTTTGCAATTTGAGGATCTGCTATCACCACGCACCTATGAGGAATGGCATCTTTATCCTTGTGCCGTGGGTATGCGGCAGCAAGGAAAAGTCTCATTCTCCACCAATCTGACATCCCATTGTTCCAGACGTGCTGGAATCAGAGAGTTGGCATTTCGTAAAGGTGTTGGCCTGGGAGTCTCATTTTTGTGTGGCTTTACTTCCTTCTTTCTTTTTTGGTCTTTCATGGAAACTTCCCCCCCTTTTTGGCTTTGCTTTTTATTTGTGCCAAAACAAACTGAAGTTACTCTAACATGTAACTCCTGGGGAAAATTCTATACTGACTTGATAAATCATAAAGTTGCAGAGATCCCAAAACGCTACTCTTGCTTCCCCACTGGCAGGGAATTAAAATTCCTGTTTTCAGGTGAACCGTGTCGAACGTGGTGAGGGCGCACAAGAGAAATGGAGGCTCCCGTCCCTGCTCTCAGGAGGGCCCGGGATTGAGCTGCGTCTCTGGAAGCAGTGAGCCTTTGCCCAGATGCCACGTGGAGGTTTTCTAAGAGGCTGAAATGATAAAGGTCACGTTTTGAAGAGTTTATTCATACTTAGTCCAAGGAAGCAGCATCACAATGAACACTCTTAATACCAAGAGCCAACTGAGGAGTTTCATACAAAAGTGCTTCTAGTGAGGCCAGCTGATGGAGTAAGTTGTCAGGAAGAGTAATATGAAAGCAAGAGGATAAATACACATGTGCACATTACTTGGTAGAAGCAACCATGGAAGACACCAGGGGAAGGAAGGGAAAAATCACTTAGTTGCAGTGCTGACCCAAATTGTCTAATCAAATAGTTCAATTTAGGATTTTAAGGATGTGAAGGTATATAGGCTTTGAAGATTAAGAGGTCTCAGTCTGATTCTTGGCTATGCTATGTTAAATCTGTTTTCATCTTGACTCTGGCCAGAGCAATGTCTTTGACATTAAGTTTTCTCAATTATGTAAATGTGAATAATATAGATAATATATTTTTTCCACATTGAGTATTTGGTCAGTTCATTATAAAGTTTCTAGCAGACAGCAAATATGTTTGATTGTTTTTAGAATTACAGGCATTTTTCTGATTCTCAAACATCTTGCAGATTAAATATGACCCTCAATTAAATGATTTTCAGTAGCTTTAAGGATAATGCTACATTGTTGTTGTTTTACTTTCAACCTTGTGTAAACTCTAGACAAGATGCAGCCAAGTAAAGATGAAAGTATACAGGAGCATGTGAACAATGAAATGGGTGCCAGGCCAGGAAGGCCTTGTGAGTGACGGAGGGACCCCGGTGGGGGTGCCCTCTCTTAGTGCAGCTGAGTCTTGGTGTGCAGGAAAGCAAGTTCATTGTCAACAGATCTCCTAAAATTTTTAAAATAGTTTTGTTTTTAAAAAATTGGAAAATTAAAATAAATAGAGTGGGGAAGAAGTATGTGAACTAAGGAATGCATGTATATGAGTGTAGGTGTGTGTTTTTGTGATGGTCGGGATGAAGGAGGGGAGCCATGGAGTGCATGGGGGAAGATGCCACACAACATAAATTCAAAGTACACGAGGAGGTCTAAAGTCAAGACGGACCATGGAGCACTGGGGAGCCATTAGCCAGCAGTTCAGATGCCTGCTGCCCTGAAGTCACAGCAGGAAGATGGAGAGATAAGTGGAGACTAGATCATTCATGGTATATCAGCTGTGCTAAGAATTTGAATTTGATTTTCTGCAATAACTACTCTCTGAAGGGTATCAAACAGGACTGGCAGAATGAAATTTTTACATGTAGTTGTTCTATCCTATTGCAAAATGGCAAGTGGATCAAAAGAGTCAGGGTTGAGACTGGGAATAACAGTTAGACAGTTGTTGCTGGGATTCAAGTGGAGTGTGCTCTGGCTGTGGAAAGAAGCAGATGGGCTCAGAGGAACCTGGGAGAGCAGATCCACTGGCTGGATGGAAGAGAAGGGCTGTGAGAGAGTATTTCTGCACAGTATTCGAGTTTCACAGAGAGTCAAACCTCCAGCACGACTGTACACATAGTAGGTAATATCAGAAGTGAAGGGTGCTGACAACATGACAGGGCCTGGGTGTGTGGGTGGGGAACACCTTTTCAGAATTATTCTATACTGAGTCTACATTCAAGGGTGGGCAAAAGTAGGTTTATAGTTGTAAGGACATGAAAAAACATGGTTTCTTCTTCTATTATTAATTAATTTTTGTATTATTTTCCATATGAAAACCCGTAAGCCCACATTTGCCAACCTCTCTATTACTTCTCCGTAAAGAATAAAGGAGTCTAAACTCTAGTTTTTCTTCCCTCATCCTATCTAATAAAGAGGGAATATGCAAATTGACTGTAACTCTATGACAAAGATGGTGGAGCCCACAGCAAAAAAGGAGGGGATATGCAAATTGACTATCAGTCTGCAACAATATGGCAGCGCTGAGCTGGGATGCAGGTGTTCCACCGCACTCTGCCCATGGAGGATCTTTGGGTTCTGCTTCGTCGCTGCTGCTGCAGGGGCCAGAGGAGCAAGGGGCCCAGCACCCAGCAGCCCCAAGCCCCACGGCCGCAGCGACTCTGGGGCCTCTGGGGCCGGAGGGGCAGAGACAAAAGCCCACAGGGGGGCCGGAGGAGCAGAGACACAAGCCTGCAGCGGGGTCCAGCACCCAGCAGCCCCAAGCCCCGCAGGAAACCTGTGGAAAGGGAGTTAAACTATCATAACTTTATCTCCCTTTCCACAAGATGAGGAAACTGACCCTGATTTATTTAGTGATATGGCCCGCACCTTTCTACAAGCACAGGGTATGTTATGACCACTCCCAGGAAGGTCTGGTTAGAATACTGTCTCCAGGGAATAACGTTACTTTGGCAAATCATCTAAGAGAGGAAACAAGCTTTTGTTGGGTTTATTCTGAAGGCCAGAGAACATGCCACCCCAAAATATGCCATGTTGTTATATTGATGATCTTGAGCTGCAGATGCTTGAAAAACAGCAAATGCAAGGAGAGGCTTTCACTGAAGTCTCTTGATCTGCCTAAAATCGGACGCCCCAAAAGGAGCTTAAATGTCATAGGTCCCCTTGATGGGGAAAAGTGTCATCAGACACTGAAGACTGACTCCTGTCACAGGACAGGAGACTAGAAGTTGACATCACACCCAAATTTTGTTACAAACTATCTCCCCCCACCCCTATTCATCTTTCCTAAAAATCATTTACTCTCCTCTAACGGGCCTCCATCTCCCATCCCCTTTCCCTAAGAAGAAGGTATTTAAATCTGGATTCTAAGCCACCTTGGGAAGTTATTCATTTTTCCCTGGGATCTCCCACATATACACAAGGTACACATGTTAATGAACTTTTGTTTTTCTCTTGGTAATCTGTCTTTCATTACAAGAGCCTCCGCTAAGAACTCAGAAGGGTAGAGGAAAACTATTTTTCCTTCTCCATAATTCTATCTTGGGAAATCAAGTCCCAGGCTGAACAGTGAGGTTGGCTCAAGTGCCAAGCAGTCCTGGCTGAGGGGAGGGAAGCTTCTAGGGGGAAATCAATGATACTGGCATCAAAGTAGGACAGAGGGCACACGCATGGTTGCTGGTGGGAGTTTAAAGTGGTTCAACATTTTTAGAGGATGATTTGGCAAAATCAATAGAAATGTTCAAGGTACATCCAAGAGTCTTCTAGGAATCTCATCTGCTGAGATAAAGCACGAGTGCAAAAGCCCAGGTCAGAACCCAGGATGCCACTGCGGGCTCCCCTTCCATGATAGGAAAACCTGCTAACAACCTGCATTTTTAGGACAAGGTGGCATCTATACTAATAAAAGGTAATATGCTAATTAGACTGAACATCTTCCAGACGTCCTTCCGGACAAAGCGAAGGTGGCAGGGCTGAGGCAGAGGCAGTTAGAGGCAATCAGGCAGGCAGGGGAAAGCAGTTAGGAGGATCAGGCTGGCAGGGGAAAGCAGTTAGGAGGATCAGGCCAGCAGGGGAGAGCAGTTAGAGGGATCAGGTCGGCAGGCAGGTGAGCGGTTAGGAGCCAGCAATCCTGAGGGATCCCAGATTGAAGAGAGTGCAGGCCAGGCTGAAGGACCCCCCTACCTCCTGTGCACAAATTTTGTGTATGGGGCCTCTAGTAGAGAATAAAAATCAGTCAGGTAAAAACTTAAATTTAGTTCATTTTCCATTTAGTTCATAGTCCTTGTGTCATTGTGTTTGTCAGCATGTGGGATTGAGCTGATCCCCTTGTCTAGGCTCATTCTCACCGTGCTCTCTATGTCTCAACTTCAAGGTGTGCATGTCTGCCAGAAAAACCCCCACAGCCACCTTTTCCATTTATAAACTTGTCGACTGAGTCACAGGCAAAAAAAAAAAAGGCAATAGATTTTGCATTCTCTACCTCTGCTAAAGAAAAATACCACTAACAAGACATGAAGAGTTATTTAAATCCATCACAGAGAGTGACTACAAAATGAGGAAAAATAGAACAAAACATTGGACTGCTTAAGTCCTGTCCTCTTTATTCTACACAATCTCCAGGAAAGAAAGAATGAACCTTTCTCTATGATCTGCTGTATTTACAATTGATTTATCTTGTGGTTAAAGGAGATTTACTCACTAAAATTGAGACAGACAGGAGAATGCAATTTGGGTTTGACCTCCTGGCCAACGTGGGTATCACTTACCAGAATTGAAAATACAATGGGGTTTTATCATTCCTTCAGGATAAGAGACTAGATAAATCCTTTAGGAATATTCTGTCTTTAGGTGCAGATAGTGACTGACATACATATATTTTCATGTCTGATGACCTGGTGTGGTTCAGGGCAGGAAGAATTCTCCCTGCTTCTACCTTATATCGCCACCATCCCCATTTCCAATTATTTGCTTGTCCACCCTGCCAGGCTAACTGATGCCAGAAAATTTTACATTACATATTCATTTCTTTAACATACCCAGCTTTGTTTCTTGTTGAACGTGTATATTCCCACATTTGGAATTCATATCTGTACCTACCTTAGTGGGAATATATTTTTATCTGGTCATTTGCTAGACCAAGATTTAATGAGGTTGTAATATGAGGGACTAGAAATAAATGAGGCTCAGAAAGCAGAGATGACTTACACAGAAAATAAACGGCAGCCAGGCTTTGTTCTCCAGCACACCTTCTCCTCTCCAGCAGCACTCCGTGTAGACCTGGAAGACCTGAGTGCCCTCCAACTACCTCTGTGCATGGATTTGAGCCCAAAGCATTGAATTTAGAATAGAATTTAGGTTCTTTAATGCCAGACATATGTCTTCTCTTGGACCTTCCAGAATTCTCAACACAAAATAAATATCTGCTTATGGAATTTAGCTTAATTTTTTGACTTTTTGTTTCTCAAATGACATATTTCTGATATTAGAGGTTTAGGCTAATAGAATCCTGGATTTCAAATAGTAACAAAACATTATGTATCTTTGAATTTACTCTGTTGATAAGTAATTTGCAATGACCATTGTGGTTGTCTCTGAAACCTTCAAGATATGCCCTCAGCTGAAATTTGGATTGCAATCTTTTTCTGTATTCCAGAAGAAGAAATTTGTCATCTAAATAACAATTTGAGTGTAATCTCTGAGATCAATATGTATATACCATTGTGAGGGTTCAAGAGAAGGGGTAACAAAGAGCAGTGAGTAAGATGTACTATATCTTAACTAAGCTTTACTATATACACATGAAATAGACTTATTCTTATTTTACAGACCAAGTAGCTGGGGTTCACGTGAGTCAGTGGTGGATCATCTAGTAACATGGAGTTGGACTCCTTATCTGTCTTCTCCTAAAGTCCACCCTCTTTCTAGTCCATCGCACTGCACCGATGAACACTGTAATGCTTTGGCAGTTTCTAACTCCACAAGCCTAACAGCTCACTTCTAACTTTGCCAGAGGCACAATTTCCCTCTGTGTGTTCCACTTCAGAGAAATGTCTGCAGTAGACTACAAACACATTTTATTTCATTTGCAAGGAGCATGACAAGTTTTTATCTTGAAGGTTCTACCTTAAATATGTAAAGTACAGGGTTCCACATGAACTATAATATTTTAAAAACAATTTCTGGGTGTGTGTGCATGGAGTGGGAGGATGGAAGGAGTGTTTCTCCCAGCCTGAAAAGGCATGCATTTCCCCTAGACTCTTTAAATTTCTAATTCTCTATGGAAACTTTAATGAAAAATTCCACCACAGCAACACAACAAAAAAATAGTTGACTGTTACGAATGCCAATATTAAACTTAAAAAATGTAAACACTGCGATACCTTATTTTTTTAATTTTGTTTTTCATCTCTTAGGAGGAACATCATCAAAACAGAAAGGCTTTCTAGGATGCATACGCTCCTTACACTTGAATGGGCAGAAACTGGACCTGGAGGAGCGGGCCAAGGTCACATCTGGAGTCCGACCAGGATGCCCAGGCCATTGCAGTAGTTATGGCGGCATCTGCCACAATGGGGGCAAGTGTGTGGAGAAGCGCAGTGGATACTTCTGTGATTGCACCAATTCACCATATGAAGGGCCCTTTTGCAAAAAAGGTACACTAGTCATGTTTGTTTTTCAATGTACCATGTAGTAGTAACTACAGCCTATGGCCAAGTCATATTATCCCTTCACCTTACAGAATCCTCAATCCATCATTTAGTCTTCCTCGTTTTTTTTTCTCTTTTAAGAGACTCTGCATATCTCCTCAACATAATTGCATAGAGTCATTATCACTGTGTATAGACCCTGACAGTGAAATTATACTAAACGGATAGTAATAGGGCAAATTGGCTCGCCATGGCCAAGAGTCAGCTTAGCACTGGGAAAGGTTGACTCTCACTTATGTTGGGTCACCTGAATCATGAAGGGCGCACTGAACTTTCCAGTTCCAATTATCCAGTCCATAAATATAATTAAAGACTCATAGCCCAGCCAGCATGGCTCAGTGGTTGAGCATTGACCTATGAAACAGGAGGTCACAGTTTGATTCCCAGTCAGGGTACATACTTGGGTTGTGGGCTCGATCCCCAGTGTGGGGTGTGCTGATCAATGATTCCCTCTCATCATTGATGTTTCTTTCTCTTACTCTCTCCTCCTCTCTCAAATCAATAAAAACATAATTTTTTTTTAAAAAAAATAAAGAATCATAGAATGTAGCCCTGGAGGAACCTTATAGAACCTTAAGCAATTCTAAGTAATTTTTTCAATAGGAATAGTAAAGGTAAGTTAGTAAAATCAGTATCTTGTATTTAATAAAATATTGCTATTCTACAGGTGACATAATTTGGGTTTGAGTCTTTAATAGTGCTCCACAGATACTCATATTTAGTTCATCAAGGGACTGAAGATAGAACAGCAGAGTCAAAACTCCAGTCCTGATGCTTTACAGCATCCCCTCTGAATTTTATTAATTAATTGTATTGACAAAAGCTAAGCATGATGGATACACACCTTAGACAAGGAATGGCAGTCATGATGTAAATTATCTAGATGAATTCAAGGTAATGCTACAAAATGTAAAATCTCATTTTTCATTGTAAATATGTATTTTTTAAATAGAATGATGAAAAATTTGGTCAACTATCTGTCTTTGCAGAATGTGTAAGCTTATTTTATTGATAAAATATTTTTTGAATAAATAATAAAAAAAAATAATTTTTCAAGAGCAATACCTAGAGCAGTGGTTCTCAACCTTCCTAATGTCATGACCCTTTAATACAGTTCCTCATGTTGTGGTGACTCCCAATTTCATTGTTACAAATTGAACATAATTAAAGCATAGTGATTAATCACAAAAACAATATGTAATTATATGTGTTTTCCGATGGTCTTAGGCAACCCCTGTGCAAGGGTCATTGGACCCGCAAAGGGATCACGACCCACAGGTTGAGAACCGCTGATCTAGAGAGAGATCTAAGATGGTGGTGGAATAGGTGAAAGCTACACTCACCTCCTCCAGGGCCATACTGGAATTACAACTAAAATATAGAATAATCAACCTAAACAACCAACTAAAGATTAGCTGAAGAGAAGTCTTATAATCAAGGATTTACAGAAGAAATCACATTAAAGGCAGCATGACAAGGGCTAGCCCTGCTATCAAAGGCTGCAGCTGAACACTGGGAGGGATATCTCAGCTGCAAAGGCGCTCCCTGAGGAGTGTGAGGTCTCAACTCCACTCAAGGCTCCCAAGAGCACCAAAGCCAGGAAAAGGCCCTTACATAACACCTGGCTGTAAAATCAGTGGGGTTTCTGTCACATAAAAACTTAGGAGTCTTCTAGAGACCCAGGTGCCCTTTTAAAGGGACAACATACAAAATATCATTTGCAGTCGCTCACCCTGGGCTCCAGTGGAAGGAGGAAAGAGCAGACTGGAGACATGTGAGAAGAGATTGGCATTTGTGGCTCTGGGGAGAGTGCTAAATGGACAACTACCAGGATCCCTGTGCTGAGTCCTTCACCGAAATCCCAGATGCCATCTTTGTTGAGTGAAGCACTCCATTACATATGGTATCAGCCTGGGGGAATGCAATAGCCCCACCCTCCAGACTCCCTTTCACTCCAGCCTTCGAAGCTCATAACCTATGGAGGAGTCAGCTACATAGACTCTGGGTGTAGAAGACTGGGAGGACTCAGTGTCAGCAACTGAGATCCAATTAGCTACACAAAAGTCACATCCAAAGGGACATCTCAGGAGGCACCAGATCCTGCTGAGGTGAATTTTGTTTTGTTTGGTCAGCACCTGAACAACAGGTTGTACACTGTGGTCATAGCTAATCCTCAGAGTCAGCCAGCATGAGGGTTGACTTCACACATGAATGATCTACTAACGATCAAGATTCAATTACAATTGGAGGATTTATACAACCCACACAAGGGACATTCCTAGAGCACCCAGCACAGGTGATTCGAAAGATTACACTACTGGATCCAAAAACACACCTACTACATAAGCCACTATAATAAGACTGGGATACAGAAAATTTACTTATTAACAGAAATGGACACAAAGAGGCAGCCAAATGGAGAGACAAAGAAACATTCCCCAAATGAAAGAAAAGGATAATTCTCCAGAAAAAAAGAGAGAAATGAAATGGAGGCAAGTAATTTACCAGATATAAAGTTCAAAAAATGGTTATGAGAATGCTCAAGGAACTTTGTAAGAAAGTTAACAGTGTGAAAAACAATATAGAAACCATCAAAGAACCAGTCAGAAACTAAGTACAGAATGTTACTGTAAAAAATAAAATGAACAATACACTAGAAGAAATAAATATTAGATTAGATAAATCAGAGTATTAAATCAGTGACTTGGAAGATCAGGTAGTATAAAATACCCATCAAAGTAAAAAAGAAAAAAAGAATACAAAAACTGAAGATAGTTGAAATGACCTTTCAGAGAATATGGATTGCAATAGCATACTCATCATAGAGGTGCCAGAAGGAGAAGGGAGAGCAGAGGATTGAGAAACTATTTGAAAAAACAGTGGCTGAAAACTTCCCTAACCTGGTGAAAGAAAAAGACACACAAGTCCATGAAGTGCAAAGTTCCAACAAGATGGACCCAACGGGCGTCACATCAAGACACATTGTAATTAAAATGCCAAGTTTAAAGACAAAGGGTGAATCTTAAAAGTAGTAAGAAAAGACACTTAGTTAGCTACAAGGGAGCTCCCATAAGACTGTCAGCTGATTTCTCAACAGAGATATTTTTCAACAGGCCAGTAAGGAGAGGTATGAAATATTAAAAGTGATGAAAAGCAAGGACCTACAACCAAGATTACTTTACCCAGCAAGGCTATCATTAAGATGGAAGGAGAATTAAAGAGCTTCCCAGACAAGAAAAAGCCAAAAGAGTTTATTACCACCAAACCAATATTACAAGAAATGTTAAAGAATCTTCTTTAAGAAAAAAAAAAAAGAGGAATATAGTTATAAAGAATGAAATGGCAATAAATATCTACCTACCAATAATCACTTTAAATGCAATCAGTTTAAATGCTCCAATCAAAAGATATAGAGTAACTAAATGAATAAGAAAACAAGAGCCATATATAATATTATCTGCAAGAGACCCAACTCAGGATGAAAGACACACACAGACTAAAATTATATATATATTTCATGCAAATGTCATGCAAATGTAAATGAAAATATAAAGCTGGGATTGCAATACTTATAGCACACAAAATAGACTTTAAAACAAAGGCTATAGCAGAAACTACATAATGATAAAGAGAGAAATCCAACAAGAGGATATACCCCTTGTAAACATATATATGCCCAACATAGGAACACCTAAATATATAAAGTGAAACTTGATGGACATAAAGAGAGATATCAACAGTAATACAATGATAGCATGGATTTTAACACTCCACTGACATCAATAAATAGCTCTTACAAACAGAAATTCAACAAGAAAATAATGACCTTAAATGACACACTAGATTAGATTATTTTTATTTATTTATTCAGAGCATTTTACCCCAAAACAGCAGAATATACATTCTTTTCAACTGCACATGGAACATTTTCTAGGATAGGCCACATGTTAGGATACAAAAACAATCTCAATAAATTTAAGAAGATTGAAATCATATTAAGCATCTTCTCTGACCATAATGGTTTGAAACTAGAAATTTATCAGAAGAAAAAAAAACAAAACAAACACCTAAAAACCCACAAAGACAAGGAGGCTAAATAGCATGCTAGTAAACAATGGGTAGGTTAACAGTGAAATCAAGGAAGAAATGAAAAGATACCTGGAAACAAATGAAAACACAACTCAAAATCTATGGGACATGGCAAAAGCAGTCCTAGAGGAAAATTAACAGCATTTCAGGCCTACATCAAGAAATAAGAAAAATCTCAAGCAAGATGTTCAACTTTACACTTAATAAAACTAATAAAACAACAACAAATCCCCAAGAGAGCACAAGAAGGAAAATAATAAAGATCAGAACAGAAATAAGCAAAAAAGAGTCTAAAAAACAATACAAAAGATCAATAAAACCAAGAGCTGGTTCTTTGAAAAGATAAACAAGATTGATGAACCTTTAGTGAGACTTTTCAAGATGAAAGGACTGTGGATCCAAATAAATAAAATCAGAAATGAAAGAGAAGTAACAACTGACAACATAGCAATAAATTGTAAGAAAATATTACGAACAGTTATATGCCACGAAATGGGACTGATGGATAAATTTCTAGAAACATTCAATCTTCCAAAATTGAATCAAATAGAATCAGAAAATGTGAACAGATTGATTATCTATATATATAAAACCCTAATATGCAAATATACTGAACAGCGGAAAAACGAAACAACCAAACAACTGGTTGCTATGACGTGCGCTGACCACCAGGGGTCACGGTGGAACATGGCGGGCATTAGCAGCAGGTGGCAGAGCACGGAACATGGTGGGCGTTGGCCATGGCGGGATGGTAGAGCAGGTGAGCAGGGGCGCCAGACCAAGGTGGGGCCTGGGTCGCTGTCATTGGGACAAGCCTCTGGTGGTTGCTGAAAATTCTTTGCTCCCGCCTGCTGCAG